TTTATTCTATAACCACCTCCATTTATTTTTAACTTCTGCTGCATTCATTTCAGGAAGTTCCAGTATGTGGCTTTTGACTTCTTTTCTGTCACTTTGTTCAGGACTTGTCTGGGGTGGGCTGGAGCCTAGAGTTGTATTTTGCCTCTGCATCCTATCATTTTCTTTTTTCTTTTTTTCATTTTATTTTCTTATTTGGTGCTTATAGATTTATTAGGGTAGACAGCTTTATCACTTATATCATGGCTTCCCTAGGAAATGTCTGTTCCTCTGAGAAGTCTTCTAGGTATAAATGGTTCTTGATCTTTGTGTATCCCAAGAACTTACCCATCCAATTTATTAAGGATGAGAGGTTGCAATCTACTTGGCTCTGGAGTCCATCCCTTCCTATTGGACTATGGTTATAAACCCATCCAATCACAGTTTTGTCATTGGTGGGAGAGAAACTGATTGTAACATGTATGACATCTTGGCTAAAGTAGTACAGTTCACAATAACAATGACATTTATCACAGCCTAGCAACTGACCAACTGTGGTAACTATTAATTTGACATCTTTAAACGTGGAAACTAGCTCCACAATTATACAATAAAATTCAACATATACCAGGAATTTGTATGCAATGTTTCCCCTTGGTAGGTTTTTTTAACCCACTGGCTTAGTGAGGCCCCTCAGGAAACAGTGTCCTGTAGCTTCTGTGCCACTCCCCTGAGTGCCCCAGGCACTGCTTGGTTTTGCTGGGCTAGGCTGGTTCCTACTGGCACTATAGGTGGTCCTTGTTGCATTGGCCTGAGGCAGCTCCCACCAGTGCCCCCACATAATGCTAGGCAGCACTGGGCCACTCTGGGCTGGGGCAGCTTCCTCTGGTCCCCAGGGTGATTCTGGGTGGAGCTAGGCTGGGCTGATCTACACTGGACTGAGGCAGCTCCTGCTGGCATCCTGAGTACTTCTGGGTATCCTGAGTACTTCTGGGTTAGGCTGGCTTGCAGTTGCTTATCTGATTTTTCATGTTCACTAATATTTGTTTTATTTAGTTAGGTGCACTGGTATTTGGTACATATATGTTTAAGATTGTTATCTCTTCTTTTTGACATTTTCCCTTAAGAAGTATGAACTGATCTTCTCTGTCTCTTTTTATAGTCTTGGCCTGAAGTGCATGTTGTCTGCAATTAGAATATCTACCCCTGCTTATTTCCAGTTTCCTGTCACTTGAGGTATTGTTTTCCATCCTTTAACTTTCAGTCTGTGAATTTCTGTCTGGGTTAAATGTGTTTCTTGTAATAAGGAGGATAAAATGGAAATAAGATTTTCAGATAAGGAGGGGAAGAGGGGTTGAGGAGAGGGGAGGGAGTTGGAAAAAAGAAGAATCAAGATATATTGTATATAGTGCTAGTTCTCTATATACATAAATTGTACTCATAAACTTACTAAAAATATCTTTCTTGTATGCAGCATATTGTTGGATGTTATTCCTTGATCCATTCTGCCATTCTTTCTTTTGCTTGGTAAATTGAGACCATGTATATTGGTCATTATAACTGATATATATTGGCTTATCCTTCTCATATTATTTTTCTGCTGTTGGCTTCTTGTCTTTCCCCTCTGTTTAATTGCTTGCCCTGTGTAGTGCCTTCTTTCTATTTCTTTAAATTGTGCTCATTGTTATTTCTTTCTAGAAAATCTTTTAGGATACTTTGTAGAGCTGGTTTTGTGGTCATGAATTTCTTCAGTTGTGTTTTGTCATGGAAGTATCTTATTTCTCCATTGATTTTGAAAGATAGTTTTGCAAAGCTCATCAGTCTGGTTGGAAATTATTTCCTTTCAGGATTTGGAATACTTTACTCCAAGCTTTCTTTGCCTTTAGGGTTTGTGCTGAAAAGTCTGCTATGATTCTGATGGGCTTTCCTTTATAAATGAGTTCTTTCTTTTCTGTAACTGCTTTTTCTATTCTGTTCTTGTGCTGAATTTCTGGAATCTTGATTATTATATGCCTTTGTGTTGACTGTTTTTGTCAGGAATAATTGGAGTTCTATACCTTAATTATATGTTTGTCAAATTATTTTTCCATGCTTGGGAAGTTTTCTGCCATTACTTCTGTGAACACCTTTTTTTATATCATTTTTGTGGATTCCTGCTTTCTCATTGACTTTGATCAATGCTATGTTGCTCTTCTTTGCATCATCTTGCAGGTGTTGGATTGTTTTCTCATGGCCCCTTGCTATTTGAAAGAAATCTTTCTTTTCATGATTGCTCACCATGATCCTGTCTTCTATGTGTTATATTCTATCTTCATTTTTGTCCATGCAGTTTTATAAATTTTAATGGGATTTTTAATTTCTTTGATATCTGTTTATATCATAGATTTTATTTCTTTCCTATGTTGAGTATCTATTATTTCTATCATCTTTATGCTTTTAAAAAAATCTGTCTAGTTATGGTTTGCTGAGCAAGTCCATCAGCATGGTCATCATATTTTTTAACCCTAAATATTATACCTTCTCTGATTTCCTATATAGCATCATGGATTTGTTTTCTACTTTTGCTTTTATCATTCCAGACAATTTAAATTGTGGAGAAGGACATTCTTTAGTTATAGAAAGTAGTGATTTCTGCTTTCAAATCACACAGTGATTTGTTTATTGTTTATTAGGGTTTCTTAAGATAGGGTTTCACTATACAGCCCAGGCTGGCCTTGAGTTTACAGTCCTCTTGGCTCTGCCTCCCGAGTAATGGATTATATGTGGAGAAGGACAATTCTTTAATTAGTCTTTCAATGTATTGCCTCATGCCTGATCAAGCCATGTGATTGTTTAATTCTGGAGGAAGTCTAGCAAAAACATTGGTGGAAAGGATAAGATTGCAAAACCTATGTCCTTGTGGAAAGCCAAAGTTGACACTAAATGCTTTACTGAGACATGCTGAAAGGAATGATAACATGATGGCTTACTAAGTAAAATCTCATATTTATGGTAATTGAGTTGTATTGTCCTTGCTAAGATGTTTGATATCCGCCCTTTGTACTAGCTGCTTCCTTTGTTCTCGCTCAATAAAAAGTGACTGAGATTGGTAATCGAGGCTGCAGTCTGAGTGGCTGCAAGCCCCCTGATCCCAGAATTTTGTCTCTCTTGATTTTCTTTTTTCTCTTGCTTTTCTTTTCATCTACGGGTACCTTGTTCTCAGGATCTGTCACCCCTGGACAGAAACGGAATATTGGAGTAACATTAAATGAGTTGCTTCTAATGTTCTCCATCATTTGTCCCCTGAATTTGTCTTCAGTGGGCTGAAGGTCTGTGGTGGTATTTTGTTTCAGTGTCTTGTAATTTTCTATTGTTTTATTTTATTTTGTTTTCTATGTTGATGCTTGTAAGTTTCTTATTGTAGACACATTTATCACTGGTATCTAGGCTTCATTAGGGGATATCTGTTCTGAGATGTCTTCTAGCTTTAGGTAGTCCTTGGTCATTATGTCTGTTCCAAGACATATCTTCCCAATTTATTAAGGAGAAGATGTTGCTATATATTTAGCTCAGCATGCAGTCCTTTGGTACTGGACTATGGTGATGGTGGTGACCCCAGATAATCACAGTGTTGTCATAAAAGGGAGAACAACTGACTACAACAGAGGTGACATCCTTGCTAAATTAGTACAGTTATCAATTACAGTAGTATCATGCACAGCCTAAAACCTGACAAACTGTGATTAGTTTATATGGTATGATAACTGTTAATATGGTACCTTTAACCTAGGAGCAAAATCCACAGTTATGTAAGAAAATCCAACATTATTCAGGAACTTGTGCACAAAGAGTTTCCCCTTAGTAATTTTATCCTGTGGTGGAGTAATTTAAGAGGGATGTGGTACAAAGCAGAAAGCTAAATGAAAAGAAATACAGTAGAAGCAAAGCTGAAGGACAAAGAATGATCACACAGGCTTTGGGAAACTGGAGAAAGGGGAAGTAGGGATAAAGTGAAGGAGAAAGCACAATATTTATCAAACCAGACCAGAAAGACTCTGAGAATGATCAGTCAAATGTAAATACCATAAAATTGTGAGAGATAGTTGAGGAAAGAGTGAAAGAAGATCAATAGATGAGAAGTTCGAAGACCTAAACAAATTTAAAAAAAGAATAACCTGTTAGTCTCTGTCTCTGTCCCAGTTGCTGTGGCACCCTCAGACAGAGACAACCTGTGGCTACTCCCAGCGTGTACAGACAGCTCCTCCCAGTCAGCCTCCCAGCCTTCTCTGTTTCATTTCCATTGGCATGTCTTTGTCCTCTCACACCACTTTTTTGGGCAGTGTGGGGAGCTGTGGGCTGTCTCTCTGCTCCTACCATCACTATGGAGACAGCAAGTACAGCTTCGATCTCCTCTGCTGCAGGGGAGGTGCCAAACTCACTGATGGCAGGGCAGGAGTGACTGTGCTTTTCCACTCACTGATCTTTCCTGCTCTTTACCACATTTACAATAGTTGAAGTCATAATAACTAACAGCCCAGATACCCATCAACAGATTAATGGATAAAGATAGCATGGTGTGTACACACAATAGAACATTGTCTTACCATAAAAACAATAAAATCAGGTCATTTGGAGGAAAAAAGATGAACTTTGAGAACATAGTGCTAACTGAAGTAAGTCAGGCATGGAAAGTTCAATATTACATAGTTTCTCTTCTATAAGAACTCAAAACTATATCTAAATGAATGAATGAATGAATGAATGAAATAATGAAGAGGCAATAGGAAACAAAAAGGAAAACTTTCTGAAGATGGTGAAGGGTATCACGGGGAGAGATGAAGTGAGGAGGAGGTTTAAAGAGGTTGAAAATGATCAAGGATAAAAACAAAGTCAGACTTGTAGTCTATGTTGAAATGTATTTAGTCTTCATACTACACAATCATTTCTGAAAGAATACACTGATAGGAGAATCAGTACTCTGGTTCATCACTATTTCTGTCTTTCTAACTCATAGTAGAAACTCAAGCTCCAAGCAGTTCACACACTCAGAGTAAAAAGGGTTTACCAGTGATGAGATATGTCAAGGATTCTCTCATTTCCTTATTTCTCAAACTGTAGATAAAGGGGTTCAGCATTTGAGGGATCACAATGTACATCATTGAAGCCACTGCATTCTTAATGGAAGAGTCACTAACAGCAGAACTCAAGTACACACCCAAACCTGTCCCATAGAATAAAGATACAACTAAGAAGTGAGACCCACAGGTGGAAAAAGCTTTATATCTCCCACTCACTGATTGGATCCTCATAATAGAAGAGACAATTTGAGTGTAAGAAAAAATAATCCCGCACAAAGGAACGCCAGCAAATATGGTAGTCCCTAAATGCATCAGCAGAGAATTGATGAGGATATCAGAACAAGACAGTTTGATCATCTGAGCAAGTTCACAGAAGAAGTGTGGGATTTCCAGGTCTGTGCAGAAGGACAACTGCAGCACCATCAGACTGTGAGGCAGGGCATTCACAGTAGTAATGAGCAGGGAGAGTAGAATCAGCAGGATACAATACTGGGGATTCATGATGACTGTGTACCTCAGCGGGTGGCAAATGGCCACGTAGCGGTCGTAGGCCATGACTGCAAGGAGACAATTTTCCAAGCCACCAAAAATCAACACAAAGCTAACCTGGAGGAGGCAGCCTGTGTAAGTGATGCTCTGATCCTGTGTTTGGATGTTCACCAGCATCTTTGGGATTGTGGTGGTGCTTATACAGATGTCAGTGAAGGACAGGTTGGAGAGGAAGAAGTACATGGGGGTGTGAAGGTGGGAGTCAGAGATGACGGTTAGGGTGATTAGCAGGTTCCCGAACACTGTGACCAGGTACATGGACAGGAACAGGCTGAAGATGAGGGGCTGAAGTTTTGGATCATCAGTCAGTCCCATAAGAAAGAATTCTGAGACAGTTGTTTGGTTTGTAAGCTCCATTTTGGTGGTAAATCTTGTAGCAAAGATACGGCAAAAATGTAAAATGAATGCTGCCTATTTAAGCAAAAGCAGAGCCTGGAAACGGGTATGATTACAAAATCTTACCTTGTTTTCTGCTTACTGTTGATAAGCTCTGGTGATGACGACCGGCAATATATGTTTTAACAAACACTCCAGCTGAATCTGACACCTCTAAAATTGGAGAACCAGAGCTTTAAACAAGCAAAAAGGAAAAAAAAAAAAACATTTGTTTTTGAACCACATGAATATGCAAATATCTGTTTATATTCTCTCTCTATATATATTCATTTTCTCTACATGTAGAGTTTAAAATAAACTCTACATTTTATTCCCTTTGTATCACCCATAGTTTTCATATTTGTGTCAAGTGCCAAAGTCTTAACCAAAATGGATAGTCCATACCTTCACACCAAAAGAAAGCTGTGGTGAGTTTTCAAATCTGCTTTCTAGAATAATAGTCTCCAAATTTTTCACACCTCGGATGAAGGGCTTCTCAAATTGCACATGAATCAGTTAGTATTTCAGTCTCACAGACGCAGTAGGGCATGTCATATACACAAAATGCACAGTCTTTGGCACAGACTGGATCACAGTTCAGATTGGCTGACAGCTAAGTTAACTTTCTTATGGAGTCTCTGCTAATGTCTCTGAAGTGTGCAGAGCTGGAATTCCTCAAAGATGATGAAAGTATTATAATTCACCCTAAAAATTTCTGCCTGAATATATTCCCTAGTTATACCTTCATTTTTAGGTAAGCCCCATTCTCCCTATTAATTCAAGCAGGCAGAGAACATTCATCCAGATGGATGTGATCAAAGAATATCAAATGTTGCCTATAAAATTGAAGCTCATAAGACTGTGCCTTGCAAACAGAACCTAAAACAATATGATTCAGCAATTAATTCTAAAAGAACGATAGTAACAATGTGGATGACATGTGCTGCCTCATCCTAAGGGAAATTCTTCCTGTAATGAGGTAGGTAGTCTATCATTAAGTAAAACCAGCAAATACCCAACAAATAACTAAGTGGAAGAAAGAATGAAATAGGGACACTCCTGCAAAAACACAGATGGAAAAATTGGTGTTTAGAAGACAGACATTTATGAAATAACAGGCTGAGATAATCATAAGTGTTCTACCTGGAGTGTCCCTGGAAAGCTATGGTCTTCTTATGGAAAAAAAGCAGCTATGACAAAGATTATCATCTGGTGTCATATGAGACATACACATTCCAAAATTGCAGACACCTGCATCAGCTTTATGAATGGAAGCCATCTTCAGCTGCATGCAAAGCCTGGATATCCTCATTGGATAATAGAGGTGCTAATTATCTTGTTATGTGATAATAAGTTGACACCATATACTTCTCCACCTGTCACTTTGCATAACTCAAATATTCACAATTTATTTGTACAATTACACCTCATTAAATTTGGAAGGAGGAAACCTCATTGTTATCTATGAAATAGTATGAAATAAATAGAAGAAATTCAGTCAGTACATGGACGTAGGAGGGTTCCTTGTTGTGACATTGCCTAGTGTATGTACGTGTGTGTGTGTGTGTGTCTGTGGGAGAGAGAGAGAGAGGAGAGAAAGAGACAGAGAGTTGGACGGAGAGAGAGAGAGGCAACAGAGACAGAAGAGACAGACAATAAGTGTGGATGTGTCTGCCTTAAGAAAGAACTCAGTTTTCATCCCTCAGAAGGAACTGGTAAGTTGTGGCAGTTCACTCAACAGGAAAGGAGAGAACATCTCTAGCTTGATGAATATAAACTATGGGGAAGTGTTTCTGTGCTGAAAATATCTCTGGGAGTCTTGGTTACATAGAGAATTAAGGAAAGAGAGAAAGAAACATCGATGATACCAATATTTATTTGGCCTGGACATACAAACAGCAAAGAAAATGTGTTTTAAAATAAATTAATTAAAAGCCTGTATCACAAGAATTATGAATACCTATAGTAGGAAAAAATTAAGTGAAAAAGTTCACACAATAACAAAACTTTCAAGTATCTTGAACGTTCATATGAATATATAGTTTTGCTATAGATTATGTAATCTATGCTATAGATAATAGAAGATCAGATAGTAATGTAGGATCAGCTCCAACCTATAAGTATTTCACTTACTCTACCTGTTTGCTTCAGGTATTTTTATCACAAGAAATAATAAAGGCTTATTTCAGGCCCCTCACTGTGCTTACCTCTATGACTTTCCTTTTATTCCTTCTCCAGGGAAGTAGCCACACTCCCATGATGTACATTATTCTCCCACAATTTTTATTATGTCTGATAGTATTTATCCAAATAAAATATGTAATATGTTGCCTTTTAAAAGTTTCTATACATAGTACCCTAATATATACGTGTGTTATTGATAGTGGGCATTATTTACTAAATCAATGTTGATATTTTTAGTCCTCCTTCACAAATTTTAATTACTAGTATTCCACTGTATTGTCATAAACAGTTTGTTTTTCCATTACTTAAATATGAGATGTAGAGTCATGCATAGGAACACCACCATAGTCTTGGCATGCCTTGGGAAGGAAGAAGAGGAGTAAAGGGGAATATTGAGGAGATGAATTCTGTATGCTTCTTTTGTTTGTTAAGTTTATTGACACATTTTATCTTTTTATCAACCTGAATTCTTTGTTTTGTCCAAAAGGATACAGTAAATCATCTCCAACAATATGTAAACCTACATATAAAATATAGAATATCTCTAATATTTTTCCTTTATACGGTAGCACAGCAGCATATGCAAGAGAAAGTACAGTTGATGGACCAAAAAGAAAGGTGATTTGGGCAATGACTTAGTTTCCAGGCATTTACCTCCAAAGACCAGGTAGTTGTCAGGTAAATGAAATTGACCAGGTCAATGTCAATTTCAACCTGAAAAACAGTATTAGAAGAGTGTCTGTGAAGGTGAAATTTGTGTATTTAATGTGTATTCCTAGTCATTTCATCCACAGTCTGACTTCCCAGTCATGGTGGTTCTTTGCCTTTGGAGTGGTATTGAAAGCTATAGTGAATGCCTATACAATAGCAAATTTTCATCTAAAAAACCATAGTAGAAATGATAAAGCTTAAAAAAATGTATGCTCGGGCTGGGGATTTAGCTCAGCGGCAAAAGCGCTTGCCTGGCAAGCGCAAGGTCGTGAGTTCGGTTCCCGGTACCGGAGAAAAACAAAAAAAAAACAAAAACAAAAAAAAAATGTATGCTCAATTTCAGAAGTATTTAGTAATTTTAAGACAGCTTACCAAGAATACTTCCAAATCCACAGGCTTTACAACGTCCTGCAAAAAAGAATAAACACCTACTCAGGCCATTAGTCAAATTCTGCTTAGTAATTTGGCACGTATCATTTCATCATAGAATAATCATGTCAGTAAGCTTCTGATTTTGTCTTTACCTAATGATCTGTTGTTAGCCTATCTTTAATGTTGAAAGGGGAAAAAGCTGGTACATGTTTTAAGTCAGCTGGTTCTCCTGGGTTTCATGATTTCTTTTGTTTCAACATCATGTTACTATGTTCTAACAGAAGCAATCTCTCAGTTAAGAAAAATAAAACACGGGGCTGGGGATTTAGCTCAGCGGCAAAGCACCTGCCTGGCAAGCGCAAGGTCGTGAGTTCGGTTCCTGGTACCGGAGAAAAAGCCAAAAAAAAACAAAACAAAACAAAACAAAACAAAAAAACACCAGTTGCAGGGCTTACAAATTGAAAAGGGAGACTCCTTCTCATAGCCTTTCTTGCTTAAAAAATTTAATTTAAATGTTCAAGATCAAGCACAGACCCTTTCCATAAAATGAAGCCAAATCACAAAACTACTAGATAGTTGTGGAAGACAACTCTGACTGGGGCATCATCTCTGGTACCTTCAGCACAAGTGCTGGTCTCTGGCTACTCTGGCACCTCTTCTTCCTTTTCTGCCAGTCCAGCAAGAGATCCCAAGGAAAAAGTGCTTTCACACTTCTGGGTGGAGGAGACCTGCAAAATTATAGGCATTTCAACAGAGGATTTGCTTTCCAAACCATGGTCTCCAAGATCTTGGTCTTGGTCTAGGTAGTCTGGTACTAGGAAATAACTTCATGCTTTAGCTGATGCATCTTTAGTGAGTAAGCCCTGGTAAACTTTCCCTCACAGCAGTCACACTAAAATGGTTTAATTCCTGAGTGGGTGAGAAGGTGCTGTTTTAGATTCTTAAGATGGGTGAATAGCACCCCACAGGTGGGACACTGAAAAGGTGTGTATGGACCAGTTTTGCTTGGTCATTCTCTACTGCTTGTGGAAGGAGCAGTGTAGATTTGGTAGGGATACAGCCGATCATCATCATCTACATGAGCATTAATGCCAGAAGCACTTCCAAGTGAGGCAACTCCTCGGTAGCACATTCATCTACTGAGCCTATAGAGGAAGAGTGTGGACTAATCAGAAGCTCTTGTTGGACTTGTTCACTTCCTGATACTCTCTGCTGACCACTCAGTGAACTGTGAGGGGCACTGACAGGCTGGGACACTTCCTCATGGGCCTCCTCATTGCTTAACCTGTCTACTTTGACTCGGACATCTTCTTTGGTACCCAGAGATGAGGAAGATTTTCTGCTTCTACAGGTCACACAACCATTCTTCTTGCCTCAGATGGGCCTGGTAATTCTCAAGTCTGGCTGTTCTCTGCCTGTTTAGCTTTTTCAGACTGAATCCTTCTATCAGTTCCAAACGGAAAAGTCCAAGGAAGATGTTCAAGAAGTGTCAAGTGGTTGATTTCTATTTTGTTTTGTTTTGTTTTGTTTTGTTTTGTTTTGTTTTGTTTTTCAGTATTGGGAACCAAAGTCACGACCTTGCACTTGCCAGGCAGGCGCTGTGCTGCTGAGCTAAATCCCCAGCCCCTGATTTCTATTTTCTGTGTAGGGATCTGAAAAATTCAATACCTGAGAGGTACTTGGTTTTGTGCTACACTCTACAGGACTCTCAGGAGACAAAACGATGTAGCTTCTGC